GAGGGAGGGAGGGCGGTGCCGCGGGAGCGGGGGGCGGCCCCTGGCAGCGGCCCCGAGCCGAGAATGGGGGGGCCCGGCGCGGGGAGCCTCCTGCTGCCGGCTCCCGCCTTGCAGCCGCTCGCTGCTCGCTAGAGCAAAAAATAAACCGCCCCGAACACCCGATTTCTAAAGCTTTTGTTAAAAGCAGGAAGTGCCAGGTGTTAATAAAGCGTTAATTTTAGCACCGCTCCTCGTTGGTGTATCCCAGGGGAGGAACGGCTGCTTCTTGGCACCGTGAGATGTGGCATTTGCTGGTGTTCCCTCGGGAAAGAGGAAACCCTGGCCTCGCTCTTCCGAAGCTGTTTGGATCGGGTCTTCTGTTCTTTAAAAGGACATAATACACACCAGGAAGAAGGAAACACAACAGCAGACCCAGAAGATAAGACTTAGGACTTAGTGTATGGACAATGCCAGGGGAGGTTTAGCTTGGATTTTAGGAAAAAAATCTTCACTGAAAGTGCGGYCAAGCGTTCACCGGGTCGCCCAGGTGAAATCACCATCCCTGGAGGTGTTAAAAGATGTGTAGATGTRGCACTTGGGGACATGGTTTAGTGGTGAACTTGGCAGTGCTGGGTTAACAGACTCAGTAGTCTAAAAGGTCTTTTCCCAAGGGATTCTCTGATTCTGTGTTAATGAATTTCCACTGCACAGGGGTGCGCTTGAGTCCTGCTTTGAGCRCCACTGTAAAAAGATCTCACTCCTGTCAGCCCTGCACACTTTGTCCATGCTGTCCATCTCAACACAGGGCAAAGTCTGAAAGTGAAGCCGGATTTCAGTGTGTGGCATTCCCAAGCCATGGTGGGACCAGCRCTGTCATCTCTATGTACCTTTTCTCCTCATCCAGTTCATGCATTACTGGTGACASGTCTGCTTGGCTCAGTTTTCTTTCCATAAGCAATTAGTGGAGGTGCTAACAGGTTGTGTAACAGTAGGATTCAGTGGAAATCAGACATTTGGAYTAATATTATATGGCTTTGTGGTGGCTGGGTGTGAATCCCGCTGTCATTTGGAGCGAATTCTACCTGCTGTTTGCTTTCCTTGTCATTACTGCTGGGCAACAAACAGCAGTAGTTGAAGCACACCTAAAACCATCAGGAAGAACCACTCAGTRTACTGTGGCACACCTTCAGGCTACAAGCAAGGATTCTTCCTAGGCAGCGAGCAGTACACAAGCCACTGCACTTGCCAGGTCCCTTGGTTTGGCTKCAGGGGCTGAGGGCCAACACGGGGACAACTGGGACTGGGCACTGGGGCAAGGGGACACTGCTCTGCCCCCCTTGCTCTGCTCAGCTGCGGCTCCTTGTCCTGAAGGAACAACCGGCCCAAGGTGCAGAGTGGCCAAAAGCAGTTTGCCCTGAAGATSTGACTAGCTGCTCACCCAGAGTTCTCATCTGTGATCCATTTGGATGTTACTATTTTTACTTAGGAACAGGGAGAGGCTTGAAGAAATATCACTCTGTTTATACCATRAACTATTACAGTCCTGCTGGCATGCAAAATTACTGGACAGAAGAAAAAAATCCTATGGACTTCACCATGAGGCACTGTGGTGATATATCTCTGTGCACAGTATGACTGCTCAGCAGCAGCGTAGTAAAAAATTCCCGAGGTTCTCTGCTCCGTGGGCGATTTGTGAAGAAATGGAGCATCACACATAGTACTGACATCCTGTAAAAGCCCTCTGGAAAGAAAGTCTTAATTAAAGCTTAGACCAGTTGTCTCTTTCAGTGAGCTTTTTAGTACCCTTAAATCCATAAACCTTTGCTGGTTTGTGGATCACAAAAATGCGCACTTTAGAAAAGTTTATGCTGAGGCCAGCACTGTCCTTCACAGCACCTCTGACCCCACTGCTTAGGGACTATTCTGTCAGCAGTAAAATGTGTGTTGGCTGGCTTAGTGCTACTTTTTGTTCCTTACTTATCTGCAGTCCCACTGGTTTGATGTTATCACTGTGCAGRCAATGATTCTTCCATTCATTCTGCAGTGAAGGAAAGTTTACCATAYTTCTTAGAAAGCCACACTCCTTCCTACTGCAGCTGGCAGCCTTGGACTGCTCCTTCACATGGAGCAACTTGGGGCACTGGAACTGCATTAGCTCCCTGGCACTCTCCATGTGTGAAAGACCTCTGGGGCAATAGATCCAGTGTTCAGCAGCCCTCTCTGAGACCTCTTAGGATGCATTCACCGTTGCAACCTGTGCAACTTCACTAACCTCTAAGAAACCTGCTCCCCGTCATCGCAAACACTCATGGTAAAGGCAGTGCCACACTCACATAGCAACCTCTAGCTCTTCTTTATGGTGAACTTTCTGAGGCTTCATGTGCTCTGTGCTGGGTCTGTGAATGTAGCTGAGCTGCTGCAGACTGCTCTGACCGACTTTTCTCCTTTGTCTTTCCTTTGTTGAAATTGGGATTATTTCCTAATATTTGCAAGTGTGTGGTAGCTTCATAAGGGTCYAATCACAAGAACAAGCTGAAGGATCTGTCACCAAAAGAGATCCCYACAACTTTGCAAGTTTCCTTTCAAGATCACTGTCTGAATGAAGTTTCCCACTTCCCAAGGCCTCTGGACATGGCTGACCTTCTTCTGATTGCCTTCTCCCAACAGCAATACTTTCAGAAGATGTGAGGATAAATCCCAGTGTAACTTCAGTGACAGGAAAAAAGTAATGTTCCCCCCTTCCCCCTGCCCCCCCAAAAAAATGCAGAGATGCAAGCTGAAGGGAGGCTCTGCAAAAAATTGTTTCACATGGGACAACTTGTAGTCGATTTGTAAATGCATGTAYAAATGAAATATCTTCCAAGGAATAAAGAGAGATCACCTTGCATGACTGTTATTTGGGGGGTGCTAAGGAGAGTCAGAATCTAATACTAAAATAATAATTAAAGGAGTTTTGTGAGAAACAGGTGCTTGCAGCTGGAGGAAGACTGAATGCTGCAGCTTTGCTCAGAGCAAGGACAGGCTGAGCCCACTGGCCTTGCTGAAACGCCTCAAAATACAGACAGCTGGAATGGGTGGGACCAGACTCCCTCTAYTTGGCTCCAGCCAAAGCCAATAGTAGGTGGTGGGGAGACAGTAACAAGATGCTGCAGTGATACTTCTTGAGAGTGTTCTTGTGGCTTCCTGTAGGCTGAGGTTCAAAGGCTTCCTGATCCTGCGTGCAGAGCTGGATGGTGAGAACAGAATTTCAGAGGCAGCAGAGGAAGGCATGGCTACCACAGGGATCACATGCAGCTGAGTCACACACAGTGCTTCTACTGACCTCCTTGCCCAGGGAAATGTATCCCACTCATCCTGCACTAGTATTTTCATGCCTCTGTCATTCACTAATGTCTCCTTAGGCTGCTGTCATGGCCAGGGCAGTGAGCCCTCTCTCTAGGGACATCAGCTCCTCCTGCCCTCAGGACTTGCCCATCCCAGCTACCTGCCTAAGGGCATGAATGCAAAGCTGAAGCCTGCCAGAGTGCAGATTGTGGTTGATGATATGATATAACCAGGTTTTGACCATTTAATACTCGATCAAAAAGGACATCACCATGTAGCACACAGACACCTTCCYGGTTCAAACACATCAAACATTTCTGATGGATTATCTTTGTATAAAGGTCTTACACCAGAGCAGGCACTGTGTGTCCTCTCTCCCCCCTGGCAGAAGGATGGTATGAACASCCACCATCAGCCTAAAATCACCATGAACTAGCCAATTCAACAGATCACATCTGTGTGCCTGCATCTGCTCCAGACCAAGCCTTTGGGGTTATTCCCAGCACAAAACTCATCCTTGTGGGGAAGCAGAAGGGGCAGGAAGTAGATGTCCAGAGTTCTCGCATGATACCTGCCACTTCCTATCAGTAGCAACTCAGCTAACTTCCTTTAATAAGTATGTGGTATGTGGTTAAGGACTTCAGGGAAAAAAAATCCCTGAAAAAAACCCTACCAAAAAAATCCCAAAACTTTTTTCCCCTCTTTATGTGCATCCAACAGATGTAACTGACTCAATATGAGATTCACTCAGATTGCTGACTGCACAGTTTAATCCAAATCTTTTCAATCTCTGGAGTTCATCTAAATATTAAACGGCTTGGAAAAAGCAGGGGTTCTTTAAACCTCTGTTAATGGAAACTTTTGTCATAACCAGTAAAAGGTCAATGTGGTTTTATACAGTATAATGGATTTACTGATGAATGGAACATTTCGAACTCTCTGATGGGTTTTATCTACTTTATATTCCAGATGTTAATATAAGTAAATTCTCTAAACTCTCAGACAATTTGTCTAGTATGACCAYGCAGCTTATGATGGTCATTGCAGATCTTACATGGATTTTTGAAGTAAAGCTGTTAAATTCTGTAATTTCCCTAGATCCTTCAAGCATATTAAGAAATACAAGAAAGGGCTTTTCCAGCACAGGATACAAAGCKAACTGGAAGAAATTGGAATTCAAAACATGAAAATATATTAAAGGATACTGAATAAAAATGAAATGAAACAATTAATTTGGTTCCTTTTTCTTCCTTGTATAATGACAAAAGGACATTGAAGATCACCTCACATTAGCAATATCTATTCTCCAACAGTTGATATGTATCATGCAATTTCATTTAAGAGTCAAAGTAAAATATACATGGGCTCATGTATATGGGCTCAGAAAGGGAGAAGCAAAACAGTGATGGAGAARTTCCATTACAAGAGGTCACCTGGAGCACTCCTAGGCATTGTAGGGTGGTTTTCTGTAGTACCTTTGCTAATGC